TATTTGATTTTAAAAAATCTTATCTACAATAAATTTATTAAAATATTAAATTACAAACTTATAATTATTGATTGTAGATACAAATAATTAGTAATTCCTGTGCTTTTTTGATAAATAGGTGAAGAGAAATTTGTTATTTATGGTCAACTCCTCCACTTCTGTTTGATTATTTATAGCGTCTCAAATCTATTTGTAGCATTCATATTTTTTCATTTACATAAATTGCTGAATATATTTGTGCTTCATCATTACTTAAAAATTTTCATTTGGTTGATGATGATTTATCATCATCAACCAAAGCAGTTTAATATCTATAAATAATTAACAACAGAGCAAAGACATAGATTCTTTGTTAAACAATAGAATATTTAATACAAATGTTATAATTAAGTTTAAAAAAACTGAGAAGAAAAATAAAATATTGTTTTTAATTTTAAATTGTAAATATTTATTTTTCAATATAAAAATTTAACAGAATAATCTGAAAATACTCTCTGCACGTTTCTATTTTAAATGTTATCAAATTGCTCTGCTACTCTAGTGCCAAGAGTAGCTTGCGTAATAACTAAACTGTCAGACTTCTGCCAAAGTCTAATAAAATTCACATGTTTACTCTTCTATGCAAATTGGATTAAAAATGATTCTGCTTAAAATAAAACTTTTTATTTGATATTTATAGCATTATTATTTATTTATTTATTTATTTTTGCTTTATTCTTACGTAGAATTGGGAATGAATTTTAAATTCTTTTTAATTTTAAATAAAAAATAACCTATTTGTATTATTATTTTCCCAGCTCTGTTATATATAACAGAGGGAAAGTATTGCAATCAGTCAAAACATGATCCCCCTTCAAGACGTTTAAATTTTTGGATTCTGAGACCTTGAAACATCAAGAAATGCAGAAACATTTGGGGTTTTTTTCTGTGTGTATGGGTTTGTGTGGGAGGGGCACAATTTTGCTCACTCTGAAGATTAATAACTCTCATGCTTTTTGTCAAAAATTTCTGAAATTTTGCAGGGAGGTTTGTGTATTAGGGTCATTGATGCTATTAAATTTTGGTGGTTAAAGGTAGAGGGAAGGGTCATGTGTCATATCTCAAGTAGGTCAGACTTAATGATGATTTTATTGTTTAATAGCATTTACAAGTTTTTATAAAATTTGACCTACCTTCAGAATTAAGTTCTTTGCCATTTTATAATAATTAAAAATATAAAGACATTTTTTAATAAAATATCATAACAGATGGCACCATACAGTTTTAAATGATGCTGAGAAAGATAAGCAACTCATTTCTGGATTTTATTTATAAGAAATCATTCATAAATACTGTATAAGGAAGGAAGAGAGTCATGAAAGTTCATCATTGTATATAACAGAGAAGGGAAGGTGTCAAAACTAGCTTAAAAAATGTACATGTAATTGATGGATGTCCACTGATAGTTTTTGTACTAATTTTAATTTAATATTTTAAAGTAAATATTATATTGAATAATCCACACCCTCAAGTAATCTGCACATCCCACTTTTTAAGATACTGGTTTAAAAAAAAGGAAAAGCTTTTCCAATTTAATTTATTACATATTTAACAGATTTTACTAATTTACGTGAGATTGTAACATAGTAACAATCTCACAGTATTAAAAAAATTTATTTGTACATCTAGTAAAGATAAGTTATATGAAACTTGTGGTAACGTAAAGTATTTTATAATGAGTTAACTTTTAATTAAATAGATGTGAGACTACTTCACATTATTTAATTCACATCGAAGATAGAAAACTGTTAACCGACTAATAGCTTTGATTAAGAGTTAGTAAATAATAATAATAATAATTTATTTCCAAGGGAATTTCCCCTATTTTGGGGGGTATACATATAGTAATATAATTTTACATTTTATTTTACATAATTATATAATAAGAAACATAGTAAAAGAAAAATAAATCAGTAAATCAACATGACTTAACAATATAACATTAGTTGATGTTTTAAACAACTCAAAAAATACAAATTGTCTTAGTAATTCATTTTCTAGGATTTAAAATTGTGATGATAAGCCAATGGTTAAATATTACTGAGAATTTTCTCAGTAAATTTTACAAAAAAATTAAAAATTTTGTAAGCATCTTTTTTATTAATATTATTTAATTTATTTCTGAAGTCAATAGGTGAATTTAAGCAGCATATATTTTTGATATTGTATTTTTCACGTATATTATTCAAGGGTTGACAGTTTTGTAGGAGGTGAAGCACCGAAAAATCCTCTTGTTGACATAGCAGGCAGTGTGTATTTGAAAGATTTATATAAGTATTATTAATAAAAAGCGAGTATTTATTTAGGCGTAGTTGAATTATTAATCGTTTTACATTCAGGTCTATTGGTAGCCATATATAAGGTTGGAACGAAGGGATATTTAAGATGTTGGTGTACCAGGGATGATAATTACTTTGGTTTAAGGAAAGTTGATCTTTATTGATTGATTGAGCGATAGCAGAATTCATCAAAAGAGAGTAACCATATNTTTCTCTCTATTGTTGATTTGTCATTTAGATAAAGTCGTTATTCCTGATGATGGGAGAAACGTATCAACATATACCAATTTTCCCGTTCTTAAACTGTAAGTTATCTTTTCTCGCTCAATTGTTAAAATATCGTTTCGTAATTTTACCTGGGGATTTTGTTTTCGTAGTTCGTAAAAATTTGGTAGTAGATTTTTACGTCTAATTCTTGAGTTAATAGTTATATCCGGGGAGATCTGTACATTTTGCCAATCACCAAGAAGATTTTGTTGTTTTCTACGTATAAATGAAGAAAAGATGAGATCTCTCGTTTGGTTATTATTAAAAGTGATTCTTATTATTAGGTTTGAAGTTTTTGATAATTGAATTATCTCAAGTATATCCTTTTGAGTTATTTCTTGTAAATTTAATGTATTAGTAATAAAGTTGAGTATTTCTGCTTTTGAAATGGTTTTATGATTTGGGTAATTATACATAATTATATTGTTGTAACGATATTCATTTGTTAACGAGTCCATTTTAAATTGTAAAAGATCTTTATCCGTTTGTAATTTGTCTATTTCTTGCTTCAAACTATTAATCTCCGCTTCCATTTTTTTCTGAGTTTCTTTCGTTTCACGAATGTTTTCGTGAATAATATCAAGTTCCTGTTTGATAATTACCATTTGATTAAAGAGTTTGTCGTTAGTTGTATTTATCAAATCCGAAATTTTGTCCCAAAGCACGGAAGTAATGGTGTCTAAAGAAATGTCCGGTTTATTAGTCAAAATTTGTTCAGAAATAGTTGACTCACCTGGAGTATCATTTGCACTAGTTTGCGATGATTTTCGATTATAATTCACTTCTTCGATGCATTCTTCCTGAAGGTTTTCTTCGGGGCAAAAATTAAAGTCCATTATCGTTTTAGAATTTGATGAAGATGACTGGTTCTTCTTTGTTCCTGGTTGGGTACGATTTAATGGAGGTCTTCCTCGTTTGAGTGGTGAACGTTGCATAGTAATTATTTTTATTATTGCCAATATAAGTTATAATAAATAATAACAATTTTAAACTTATTAGTGATAGTTAACGTTTAAAAAAAACGATTAAATTCTTATTCTTGGTGTAGAAGACCGAGTGCTCTGAAAAAAACGCCAGTAGCCTCGACGGAAGAACACGCCCCCCAGAGTTAGTAAATAATCTTTATACATAAATTATCTGCCTCAGTTGTACATTTAACTTAGTTTATTTATCTTCATTGTCATTAAATTAATCACACAAAAACATTTAATAATAATGTTTGTAACTATAGATTATAAACAATCATTATATTTAGTGTAGTCATCTAGTTGATAAGCAAAATTTATCACTTAATAACTGGAATCACCAAATTTATTTTGAATAAACTGCACATTCCAACTTTTTGTCATAATTTTTTGGAAAAAGTTCAATATTATTCAGATTATTCAAGTAAAAAAATAAATGTGTAAGTATGGTATTATATTTTAATATTTATTTCAAACTTTAAGTATTATGCTTAAAAAATAATTATTTATTTAATTTTTTTAAAGCCAAATATTCATTGGGCTGCAATTTGAAAAAAATTGTAGACCTATAAATTCCCATTGTTGTCCTTCTGTCTGTCCTTCCTTAATCTTAAGAATGGTTTATGCTTCTAACACAATAAAGTGCTATAAATTAGGACACTTGGCGGATTTTTTCATCTTTATTTAGTTGATACGTTTGGAAAAAATTACACGTTTTGGGCTCTTAAGCCCCTCTTCAGCCAACTAAAACATTTAAAAAGGATATAACATACACATAAAAAAGAATACACAAGTTTTGTATTCTTTTTTATGTGTATGTTATATCCTTTTTAAGTGTTTTAGTTGGCTGAAGAGGGGCTTAAGAGCCCGAAACGTGTAATTTTTTCCACACATATCAACTAAATAAAGATGAGAAAATCCGCCAAGTGTCTTAATTTATAGCACTTTATTGTGTTAGAAGCATAAACAAATAGCAAAGCACGGTTTCATATCATCAACTTAAGAATGGTGTTAGATAGGTGAAAGTCGAGACCAGATATGGAAAGTTTAGGTGCAGGAGTCCCCAATTAATTATATACGAACTTTGGTCTCAACCCAGAAGTCATGTGATTTCAATTCAAAAATTTTCCCAGAATGGGAGTTACATAGATGACTGGCACAACTCTGTTGTTATCAGGAAAAGTATGATGTATAGCAGCAAGATATTACTAATTTGCGATGAAGGGCATATATTTTAAATTAAATTAATTAAAAATATGATTAAAAATTGCAGCTTGGCATTGTGATGATATCACATAATTTTTACTCATTTCTGTTATAATACAGTTAAATAAACAGCATTTTACAAATAAGAAAATGATTTTTCTTACATTATTAAAAGTATTTCACTAAAATTTGTAAAATTATTCATGTCAGATATTAATTATTATAAATTATTAAAAATTTTTAGCTGATGGATTTAGATACGTACAATAAAGAAGAAAGTAAGAATGATAAAAATACTTGTATATCACAGTTAAAATTAACTGATGATAAATTTTCTAAGTAAGTATAATTCTTAATAGGTACTTTAATATGTCAATTATATCTTACTAAATCATATTTAAAAATTTCAGAATTTGTGAGGAGATTCTACTAGAACCTAAATCCAATATCAAAATGCTGACTGATTGTATGAATTATTGGAAACAAATTCCCGAAGGAGAAATGAAAAAATTACTGCAATTTTGTCTTAGGTGAGGTTTAAAATCGTTTTAATTTCAGGAATAACATTACAAACAAACCTTAAGAACTCCTCGTTAAAGTTTTATTGTAAGTTAAAAATAATCAAATAAATTTACTTGAGTTAAAATTTATTGAATACTGTTTTTTAATTTAATTACTTTTTTGGAAATATTGACTTTATTGTATATGGATGTTTATATCTATCTGAGGCAGTAAAGGTGTCAATCCTTTGCTCTGAGGATCCTTATTCAAGTCTAGTTTAAAGTCTCAGATATTACTTACAGGGTATTTTGTATAAAAATGTGATCCATCTATTAGCATTCTGGGATATATGAATTACCAACAGAAATGTTCTTGAGTTGAAGAAAGCAAGAAGGCTTTTTTGCCAAACTGGCCTATCATCTGGGCCACAAACAGCTATTTTCTATCGTGCCAATGCTTAGACACACACATATAGGATTTTCCAGAAATATAAACATCTTAAACCTGATAGATATTAAAGCTAAGTGATTGCCAAATTATATCGGGCTATATTACTACTACTGTTCTTAATTAGATGCTAAGTAATTTGGCACTAGAAGCAGGCATTAGATGCCATCTCTTGCTAAGTTTAATAGTAGTTTGGGGGTTTAAGATGTTTATATTTATACATATATACCATGCCAGGGTGGATTTAATAGCCAGCTGAGTGGTATAGTGAGAGTTATAGACTGTAGGCACTGAGTTGTCTCCAGCCAGTGCATTAAGTAACCAAGTATGATTATATTGAAAATTAATAAGTTCTGGAAGCGAGGATTGGATGAAGGTTCAGGTAACATAACTGGCAACACAACCGCATGGTAAGCAGGAGTTGTGGGTTTGAATCTCGCTTTGGGTCGATTCTTTTTTTCCAGAATCTTCTAAATTATTCATTAAAATAATAATAATATTAAAGTTAGCAACAGATGGTATCTAACATTTGCTTCTAGTGGCAAATTACTTAGCATGTAATTAACAATAGTATTAGTAATATAGCCTGATATAATCATGCAATCATTTGACTTTAATGTATTATCCAGAAGTGTCTTCATCACATTGTCTTATATAGATGTGAGGAGGTGTTGGGAGATTGGATATATCAGGGCATGAATACACTGTAGGCAGGCTCTGGATGATCCAGACAGATCACACAGAACAACTTTTGTTCAATGCATTCCAATTTAGAACATTGTTGACCCAAAGTAGATCTTGTGTAAGATTGAAAACATTTGTCACATTTACATTGGATTATTTACTGGAGTTATCAAGGTTTTAGTTGTCTATCCAGTTACATGAAGAAGTTAATTTCACTCAATACAAGTTTTTTAAATATGTAGAAGTTAATACACATTTAAAGTTTAGAATAATCTGATTTATTAATGTTACATCACGATATAATAATTCTGTCATGTCTAATATCAAAAGCATTGTGTTATATTTAAATCTTTTCACATATATGATTTGATATATGAATGAATTTATTTTATTTTAAAAATGTACAGTAGAGCATCGATTATCCGACTCAATTGGGGACTCAGGTTGGTCGGATAACCGAAAAGAACGAAAAAAATGCATTATTACTATAGTATATTAGTATATCCCATGTAATTAGTATATTAATATATCGCTATTAACCAACTTTGCGTTGAATTTTCATTGATGTTAAGCCTAACAAATTTTTTTTTTTTTTTTAATAATAATCGTGGCTATTGTATCGTTAAAAATTTTTAAATCATTTTATTGCTCACAAAACAAACAACCACTCATAATTAGAAAATTAAGTCTGGTTTAAATACTGGCCTCCCTTCAATGGTCAAGCCGTGTTGCCAGCTAAAACACACAAAAATTTAACAAAAATAATATTAAAGTAGCCAAGACATAGCCAAATATTATAGTGCCACATCACTAGCGGACATTTGAAATTTGCCTATTAGAACGGTCAGTTAACCGATGCGACGGTTAATTGGGGGTCGGATAATCGATGCTCTACTGTATTTAACATTTTAAATATTTTCTAATGAATTACTTTTTTCAGTGTAAATGATGATTACTTTAAGAATAATTTTAAGTCGGATGTTAATCAAACAGATACTGATCTTTGTCCGTATTGTCCAGAAAGAGCAATGTTCTTGTATCCTTTACAATGTTATATATATATTTTTTTTCATTATTTTATTTTACATAGTTTTAATAATACATTTGTAGTTTATTTTAAAATTTATGTTTTTATACATATAAACAGGAATTTTGAGGACTAAAAAGTAATTCTGCTTATTTATTTTAAGGGATTTTTACCTTTTAAAATGCATTTCAAATTAATACTTGATTGTATGTTTATTGGAACTTAGCATAAAGTTGCTATTGAGAACAAATCATACTGGAACACTTCTCTTCATGGGAAAAGTAGATTTTTATTTTCTATAATTTACAACAGATATGTATTTCAGGCTTGATTCTCCTCTTCAGTTTTTATTATATTATGTACATCAGTAAAACTATATAATAAATTACAGAATGTATGTAATAATTATTTATATTTAACATATGTGTAACTCACAAAAATTAAAAAAAAATAATTACTTAAAAATAATTATAGTGACAACTGGAATAACTAATTATTAATTAAAACTGAAATAAATTTTTAAAAATAAGTAAATAAATAAATATAATAAAATGGTGTTAAAAAGTAAAAAGAGGGTATACCTGTAAAAATAAAAATATTTTAGTTAAAATGTTTAAAAAATTGACTAATAAAGGTAGTAAAAATATAAAACCTCTAAAAACCATTAAAAACAAGGTGTAAAGGCTTTCACTGTATGTTTATCAGGAGGTCTGATACTTCATATGATACAGTGGATTAAAAAGGGAGAGGGAGAATATTTTAAAATAATCTCTTCTTACTTTGGTAGTAACAGTTGCCAGATCTCACTGATGTCATTGTTTAAATTCATTGTATTAATTTCGTTTATTTTAATAATATCAATATGTTCAAAAAAAATTTTTTTAAGAATTTTGATGCTGTCAAGTGAGATCTTCAACTGGCATGATTGCAGTGTGTAGCAATCGCTGAGTTGTTGTAATTATACTTCATAGCCCTTATATGCTCTCTTATTCTGATTTTTAACATTCTATCTCATCTCATTTTAAATCTCAAAACTGCCAATCTAAATTTTAAGTATGGTAATCAAAAAATTTTTATTAATATAAAAATGAATTTTACTTGAACGTTAATGAGAAAGGTGACTTTAGTATTTGTATTCACAACAAGGATCAAGAGTTAGAATTGAAATTAACCAATAAGAACTAACTAATTTCTTATCCTTGGTCATGAATATAGCTGCATTCATGACCAATTCAATCGTGAGAAGTAAGAATTATTTTAATGTATTTTACTTGAAAATTAATGTGAATACAAGAAATAGTTATTTGAAAATAAGAATTAGCAATATTTGACCATTTATTTCTAAGGATAACCATCCATGTTACACAAAAGCAAGTATCATCTTACATTTGGCTACTGTTCTGCTAAATAAAATAATAGTTAAAGTAAATTTTTTATAGTTATACAAGTATATAACCAAGCCTAAATTATCCCAATAATCAAATTTTCTTTCTGAATTATTACAAATATAGTTATAATCCCATACTTTGTAAGCTCTGTTGCTTAGCTTGCAGCAAAGGATGTAATATACAGTACATTCGAGATCCAACATGTTAACTCCATTCTTTTTCAGGGAAATATTATAGCAAATTTTTAAATTTTACTTTTTGATATTATGAACAAAACCAAAAATTTTCAATAAACAATAAGATGAAACATTCACAAAACCAGTTCTCTTCTTAAGATTACTTGTCAAAACGAATAATCTTATGACAAACAGTTCAAAGATAGATTTCATTTCAAATATTTATTTTGTTGTTTTCAAGAATTTAAAGAATGTTTTTACATAAATTAAAATATGTAATGCTTTTTATTCACATTTTTTGTTCCTAAAGTGTTGATAAAACATCTCTATGTTCGATACAATTATAAAGCAGTCAACTTGTATTTATTAATCTACTAAATTTATTATTAATGAGCAGTTATTCATTGTGACATCCTCAATTCCAGGCTGCAATTTTTAATCATCTTTTAATTTAAAAAAATCACGACTTCTAGTCCAGATCAGAAGTTCTTATATAGTTAATCAGGGTCTCTGGCTCCTAAGGTTTCCATATCTGGTTTTTATTTTCGTATATCTAACTCCATTCTCGAGATTAAAAAAGGACAGATGGACAATGGTGGGAATGGGTCTGCAATTGAAAATTATGGCCCAATAATTCATTATTTGTAATATAATTATATTTTGAACATTTATTAAATCCTTTATTTTTTGCCTTGACATTTAGAAATAAATTATTGAATATACCAATCAGTAATAAATTTTTACAATCATATCTACTTTCTGTGCAGTTTCAAGATATTTTGGTAAGTTTATATATATGTTTTGAATTAAGATTTATCAAGATATGATGATAAATTGAATATTAATCAAGTATTCACTGCATTTCATTTACTAACATTTAGTTGAATTGGCAAAACATGAATAAAAAAATATTATATAATTTAAATTTGGTTAAATTTCATATAGAAACTTGATTAAAAATAAATAAAATTTTTAATAATTTAATGTGACTGGTATTTAAAGTTTTTATCATCATCTCATATGTGCTTGTGTGTACATGCATATACAATGCTTGCATGCATACACATGCAAGTAAGAAAATACATAAATTTATAAAGAGATCTTTATATTTTACAGAATCTTTTGCAGTATCTTCTCTATTTGTTAAAATTAGAGCATAGGTCTGAAACAACATCAGAGCATCCTTCATTTGATGTGGTAATTAAATTATTATTACTATTAAGTTATAAATACATTCTTATAAAAAAAATTGTAGAACTAATTCAGTCTAATTGCTAAAATAATGAATTTTCTCAATCCTATTGTTTAAAAGTATTAAATTTAATAAAATATTAATAAAATTAAAAATGATTTTATTTGAAAAATTTCTGGTATACATAAATAAAGTGCACGTAAAATTGTATAATGTCTGTTACGTGAAATATGAGCTTTAATTATCATTATTTTATGGTTACTATAAATACACAATAGACAAAAGTACAGTAAGTTTTTATTAACATTGTTTTCTTATATCCTTGTTTAAGAAAGATTCAAGTATATTTGTAATCATTTACAATTATCACTGTCAAATTTTCTTTATAAACAGTAAAATCTGTTCTATGAGGTGGGAAGTAAAGATTGGAAGTTGCAAACATGATTCAAGGAGAATAATATTAACTGAATTATAAGAGGTTTGACAATTTTGTGAAGTCATCACAGTAAAAAGCACTACACTACAAATATATAAAGAGATCCTTATATTTTACAGAATCTTCTGCAGTAACCTCATTGTTGAATTTTACTGTGGTTGCCATCAAAGTAGTTCCCTTGGAAAGCTATGCATCAGTGCCAGATAGCATATCATTTATTCTTTGAAGCAATGTGGAACTAGTTTTGCGGAATGGCCTTCAGTGCTACTGTCGTATTACCTTTGATGTCATAATGTCATCAAAATGCCTTCCTTTCAATATTTTCTTTATCTTTGAAACAGTAAAAAGTTTTTTCTGTTTTTGTCTGTAAAGACTCAGAACTGAAGGTCATTCCACAAAACCAGTTCAAAAATTTCTTCAAAGCATTGAAGAGATGCTAGCACTGGTTACTTTGAAGGCAACTACAATAAACTTCAACAATGAAGTATGGAGCACCTTTACTGTGATTGTGATGACTTTGCAAACTTAATTGTCAGACCTTGTATCTTATTTAGATCAATTAGTCTATTAGTCTATGGTAGAATTGGTTTTGTCATGTCATTTTCACTTAACATCACATTTCCAAGAACCTCTCAACAATGTTAAATGAGAACTTGCCATAAAGCCACACCAACTGCCATATAATATTGGGCTATATTCTGGTGATAATAATTTGAATTACTGATTAATTTGTCCCTAGAGGAAGGCAATATTATATGGCAGTTGGTAGACTTTTTAGTAATGAATTGGGTTTTAGAAGATGTTTATATTTGAGAACTTGTTATATAACTAAACATAAGTTGATTAAGTGATAAAGTATCAGTCTACTACTTTATTGATCTGGATTTGAACTTGATCCATGTTCTCAAAATTTATCATAATTAGTGTTGCTAGGGCATCATTCCTTAATTCTTACTCATTGCTGACCAATTCTATTATGGGTCAATACTGTCCATAATTATTGTCACTCTTGTGAATCTGCAATGCTCCAACCTTCATGCACTGATCAATACTTCAATCATATCTAAACAATCTGAATAATGGCATATTTCTTGGACTATAATTCTATGATTTTTCAATAACATTTTTGAATAACATTAGTAAACTATTGAAAAATTTAAAAACTATAGGGAAAAAAATTCAGTATTATTTGACTTATTTAATATCCTACATAAATATATTTTTCATAATTTTACAAAAGTTTAATTAATTTAATTATTTTATAGATTCTTCAATGGTTATCTCTATTAATTGATACTCACTTCACAAATTTTATATTATGCAAGGATCCTCAAACCTATAAAGTTCTTTCAGATATTTCGGACATGATTAAAGTTGCTGTAAGTATTTTTTTCTATTTCTAATTATAAAAAGAATTTAATGTAATCTATTTTATCTGTCAAGAGATTGGTTATGTTTTTTTATTAATAACACAGCTATCCCTCTTTTTATGTGATCTTGATCATTAAGACTCATTTATAACAAGTCTTCGTGCAACTTGAATTTTTAAATGGTGATTTGGAGTCTAAAGTATTTTGCGGTGTCAGACTATACGGAAGAGTCTTGACAGAATAACCAAGGTGAAATGCATTTGGAGATATGCTAGCTCCAAATGCATTTCACCTTGCTGGAATGAGTCCCAACATATCCAGGACAGAATATCCCCAGATTCCATGGTTTTTAACCTACCCGGATTCGTTTCTGGATCCCCTAAAACCAGTAGTCTGATGACTTAACCAACTTGGCCATCCAGTCTTTTTCTTTTTGGGTTGAGAATATATACATGGATATATATTTTATTTTCTGCTCTGTTCCTTATATTTCAGGTTCAATTCAATAAGTATAGCAAATACTATGTTGTAATTGTAACTTGGTAAAAAAGTATGTCCAGATTTTGAAATAGTACACCATTTTCTTGTTTCTGCATGCCTAAGAGAAAAATCTGCTTGAACTGGAAAGTTTATGGCATTTGCAGGTTTTATCAGATATTATATTTTAAAAGATTCCATTACTTACAAATTTTGCTTTATATTCTAATTTTAATACTTTTAGAAAAGTAATAAGGATATTTTTTATATGTGATTTTAAATTTACTAAACAAATTAATTAAATAAATTTAAATTGTTTACATAAATATAAATAATTGATTAATAAGTTTTATAATTATTTTTATTCTTATCAGATTGATGATTTTAAGGATATGGATAACTTGGAATTATTATTGAAAATGGCATGTACTCCAGAAGAAGAATATAGTGAAGAAATGAATACGAGCTGTAAATATTGTATAGAAATTCTGTATATATAACAGAAATGTGTGTTAGTTGATAAATGTTAATAAAATATTTAATTTTTAAAAAAAATTCTTGTTTAGTTTGGTTCTGGTTTAAGTAAATTCTGATTTTTCTGGTAAAAATATCCAAGTTTCCATATTTCAGAAGTAAAATTGTTATGTAAACATCTGTATAAATACAGGGTGTCTGAAAAGTTACTGTTCAAAGAGAAATTTGTAATGACATTAAAGTTATATGTATACAAGAACTGTAAGTCGTATGTTCCTTGTTTCCACTCTGTGGTAGATGACATTACTGCTTCTCATGAACATTTCAGTTTTGGAAGACTTCTTTGCCAATTCCATAACTGGCCCCTGTAGATCTCCAGACCTTGCTACCTTGGATTTTGGGACCTACTAGGGACATTTTTGGCATATCATTTATAAAACTTTTATTAAAATTTTACTTAAACCTTTTTCACTACACAGTAATGTTATCAGATATCCTTTAGAATGATAGAACTAGTATCTTAAAATGGCCATACATGACAGTAAAGATCCTACTGGTTCCACAGAACTTGTTTCTAAGTCAAGTCCTCAGAAATGTTTATAATTGATTCAATCCAGATTTGTTAGTCCTTGTATCTCACTAGCTGTTAAGTGTTGTGGGCCTAACTGAATCCATGATTTAGGAACAAGTGGAGACCTTTTAATACTTACAGAACAGAGAAGTAAAAGGAAAAAAAATTATTGTTAAGCAAGAATAATTTTATAAATAATTTCTTGTAGAAAATGCCAAATATTTCTCTAACTTAAAAAAATTACATGTAAGTTTTACAGTATATTTAAATGAATAAAAAATCCCATGAATTTTTTGGAAAACAATTCATCGGAACCTGTCTCTCACTACTTGGCTGCCTTGTAGTCCTGACTGAACTCAATGCAGTGGTAGTGAACCTACGACATGTAAGGAGAAATCATCTGGTACATAGTGTATCATGATTTCGATTTATCATCTCTCTTTTTCAATCATCCATTTGGTTTATCATATGATCATCCTTTTTTCAATCAGCTTTTTGCATTTATTCTAATTAAAGTGTATTAATTTATTTTATTTAAATATCATTATTCGAAGTCTGAAACTTTGACATGCATAAACATCTTTAGATTAAAGCTAAGTATGCTTACTACATGACATGCAGACTCAAAAAGGTTTGCCACCCCTGTCATAATGGACTTGCAAACAAGGCCTAATTACTTCCCACAGGGCAGAGTTTAAAAAATGTATATTTAAATATGTTAAATTGAATTTATGTTTTTACAGTTTAAAATTACAGGTTTTACAGTTAAATTGAATTTATGTTTTTACAGTTTACTTAATTAAAGAAAGGAAATGTTTTTCTCTTCTGTAATTAAAGTTAACACATATATATATTTTGTTATAATTCTTGTTTGATATTTAACGAATATAGATATTTTTATATCTTTTTCAAGCAATGTTACAATTAAGGATCATCATAAGATTGCCACAAATACAGGGTGAGTCAAATGGTCTTATTTGTTAGACAAAATTTAAAGATTCTTACAGGAATACAAAAACAAACCATTTTTACCTAGGAACATATAGCTGCAAACATCATCAAAGTGTTCTATTATACATGTTGTATAACATATTTCTGCCTGATCTTGTACTTCTAACAACTCCAGGTGGTATTTGTGACTACACGTTCCTGGGTAAAAATAGTTTTTTTTGTATTCCTGACCTACCTTTACAGTTTGCCTGACCTTTTGAATCACCCTGTATAATATAGATAAAGCTAATAAACTCCTAGATATATCTAGGAGTTTACTAACTTTTATTATAGAAGTATATAGAGTAACATAATACAGTTGACTAAGGAGGAATTGAATGGATACAAAATAAATGCAAGTTATATACAAAACACTATTTTTATGTATTTTTATAATTCTTTCCAATTATTGTGTTTTTGGGGAGAGGTTAAATCCCAAAAACCCAACAAATATAGCAATAATAAATAACCTTGAAATTATTTTTGGAGGTTAATCTGTCCCATACATTGGGCCTTGTTCCTCACCACCAGACTGTCCCCAATGCAGGCTTATCCACAATGGTATTAAAAGGCCATCTTATGCCTATAGGGTGGAGGGTCAAAAAGAACTCCAAAATTTTCTGTATAAGTGGTATTTATTATATTCTTAACACGATATAAATCAAGATTAATATATGGTATTGTTTGAATATGTGTATATATGGAATTTCAAAATCTACTGTTTAGAAAATATCAATTGGTTAATACTGTATTAAAATTAAGTAGCATTTTATACAGTAAAATATGTTAGATTATGAAATGTCAAGGAAGCTTAAACATCAACAACTTGCACAATTATTATTATAAAATGTTACACATTACACAATTACATTGCAATTATTTTAACATATATTTTGAGAATATTTAATAATTTAAATAGAAAATTATAATAATATAAATTGTCATTTTATACTTCTGTATTCTTGTGTTTAATATGAACAAATAAAATTAAAGTAGAGAAAACAAATTCTAAACAAGTTTTCTTGTCTTTTTTTATGTTGGGTGAGAGCTACTAGGCTATGAGGTCCTATGGTAAGTTATGATGTGGTTATCAATCAATCATAACTTTATTTATAATAGGCTTTTGCCTGTTACAAAATTTGGGATAATGTGATACATAACATTACATAATCTCATAAGCAATACAATTACAGTCTATACATTCTCATAATTAATTAATAGTATTAAAAAGAATTACAGAATTAATATATTAAATTGATTAACAATAAAAAATCTCTGAGCATAATTATATAGATTATATATAGTAGTCTTTTTAGCTTTATGAAAGAACAAATACATAGAATCCTCGCTATGTTTTAAAAATAAAGTCTCAATATTATATCTTTTCCGTAACTCTTGAGTTCTATTACAAGAACAAGTACAAAACAAATGGAGTTTAGACATGGCAACATTACAACTTATACAAAAAAGTTTAGAGAATTGATAGATAGTTTTATTAATCAGAATAATTTCTCTATTTAATCTTAATTGAATAAAGAACTTTTTGACATTGAAGGATAAATCAGAACCAGTATAATTATTGATGTCTGGATAATTCAGAATAATATTATAACAAATAGAGTTATTATGAGTTTTAACGTCATGTATATCTTGAGACAAAGATATTTCAAAAGCACTCTTAATCAGTTGAACATTATATATTTCATTTAAGTCTGTGTTATATATAAACAGAGTTATTGAGAACCCATACATATTAAATACAGTAGACACTTGATAGACCCAATTTGGTTTAGACTTATCATTAAGCGATTTATTATATAACAATTCCAACAGTAAAAAAAGTAACGATCCATTGTCTCTCAATCGACTCAAAAATTTAACATATCTTCTCATGAAAAAAGGGCCCAATTTGAATCTATTCAATTCAAGACGCAATACCGCTCCAGAGATATTAAAGTCTAACGAAAAGACTTTTCATATAAATTTATTTTGAATAATTTCAAATTTTTTAAAGTACAAAGGACTCCAAATAGGTGCAGCGTATCCACATGAATTTAAAACAATGGAAGAGAATAATCTGAATTGAACTTTTATATTACGAATTTTTAATTTAACAAATAGTTTAACTAAATTGCTGATCAAAGTAGAAGCTTTAGTTTTTACTCTCTTGAATTGCTTTTCGAACGACAAAGTAGATGTGAACATTATACCCAGAAATTTCATCTCTGAGACGATTAAAAGTCTTTCCTGATTAAGAAAAAAAGACATGATGTGGTTATTAATTATACATATTTGTTTATACGCAGGGAATAATACCTTCTAGGCGGAGGTCTTTTAAGGGTAACTGGCCCCTATTCAGGCATTATAGATGCAGAGAAAACTCAGAAAACACGTGGCATCTTGTCCTGGCGAGGCATGAACCCACAATCGAACTTCCAGTGTTCAGGGAACAGAACCGCTTGGCCACTGGTGGGTCTCTAACAAATTCATTTGTTGGATTACTCCATAAGCACATGAGCCACATGCATCCAGAGCAGTGATTCCCAAACTTTTTCGATCCACCGACCTCTTTGTTCCATAAAGTTATACCCAACGCCCCCTAACCATTTCTCTTGTGAGAGAAAGGATCGGAAATATTCTTAGGAAAACTTTTCTATGAATCTCACACTTTGTGCCCTTACCGTACATTGTTCTCAACATCTGGAAATCATTAAATGCAATGTTTCCTCTTATCAGTTTAACAGAGGAAAGGGAACGGCTTTCAGGTACCCCAATTTTGCCTTTGGTTACCATACAATACCCTGCCTCCAGCACCCCCTAGATTTACTCATCACACAAGAGGGCGTTATTGCCCACTTTGAGAAATGCTGCTCCAGAGCCTACCAGTGCCCGAAAGGATAACACTACTGAACACTGGTTGTGGGTTCAAGGCTGGCTATGTGGAATTTCTGAGTTTTTTGTGTGTTTTATTCACTTAAATATGACATTTTTAATAATCTTCCTGCCAAACCAGATTTAGGCCCATGGAAAACCTGGAAACTATGTTGGTGAGGCACAAACTCATAACCATTGAACACTAGTCATGGATTCGTGTCTAACCAATGTGGAGTTTGAAGGTTTTCTTTATATGTCTAACACTTAAATAGCAGTCAATATCCCTTAGAAAGACTTCCTTTTAGATATGTAAATGTAGTAAAATGTATACATCAATGGTTTCGGTTTTTTCTATTCAACTAGATCAGGGATGGGAACCTATGATGTGTACTCACAAAGTAACACATAACCTATCATACTATTTCGGTTTATCATCTGTCTGTTTTAATAATCCTTTCGATTTACAGTGAAATTTGGTTAACTCGAAGTCATCTTCCTTTCCCAATCATCCAGAATACGAATTTACGCATTAAATCAAACATACAGGATTTTGATACAGTTTTTTCATAAACTTTCCGAAACTTTAATTGAAATAAAATAATTAACATTCATTTTTCGAATAATCGTGTAACTGGCGGCGAGTACGCATGTGACTTAGATACTGAACTGCTATTCGAATATGCTTTTTTCGAACTTTTTTTTTTCTCCTGCAGATGGATTTATCCGACTAGTTGACGTAATAAATAAATTAATTTTAAAAAATCTATTATAGTTCCGATTTTAAAAACCACTGATTCCTTCATTTTCGTGACCATTTTATAAGTTCGGTCTTGATCCTGACCGGATTCCAGACTGGTAGGCTGATGCATCTAACCGATATATTTATATATTTATTAACCCTTGCCATGTATTAGAAAAAAGAGAGCAACAAGTGCGACTTCTAACTCAAGTTGTCCCCTGCTGCTGACACATCTCGTTGAAACACCTATACAGTAGAGCCTCGATTATCCGACCTAATTGGAAACTGGAGTTGGTCGGATAATTGAAAGGGCGGATAACCGAAAAGTATGAAAAAATCTATTATTAGGGTAGTATATTATTATATCCCATGTAATTAGTATATTAGTATATAGCTATTAACCTACTTTGCGTTGAATTTTCATCGATGTTAAGCCTAACAAAAATTTTTTAAAATAATAATCGTCGCTATTGTATCGTTAAAAATTAGAAAATTAAGCCTCGTTTAAATACTGGCTCCCTTTCATGGTCGAATGAGTGTTGCCAGCTAAAACACGTAAAAATAATATTAAAGTAGCCAAGACATAGCCAAATATTGTAGCGCCACATCACTAGCGAACATTTGAAATTTGCCGACTAGGACAGTCGGTTAATCGGGGGTCGGATAATCGACGCTCTACTGTAATTTGGCTTATCATGATGACTAGGTGTTTTCTTTTGTCAGCTCGTGTTAGGACCAAGTCATTGTTATTTACAATTGTTTTGCGTGCTTCAGCTGTTTCATTTCAATGCTTTTTGTTCTAAGTTGCTTTTTGTTCTCTTTGTTGATTTATAAATCTAAGACCTTGCCTTGCCCACATCAAATTTACGTCTTGCCCCGCCGCTGATCTGATTCCTTCTTAATCGTCGCTTGTCTGAATGTGAATATCTCGTTCGAAAGACTCTTGTTTTTATAGGTAGCGTGCAAAATTTCAGGTTTTTCTATAAAGGGGTTGCCGAAATATAAGCAGTTGAAAAGTTCAAAGAACTCCATAAAAGCTGTATCTTTCTTATTCATTTGGCGGTGCAGATGCTCCTAGAGAAAGAACAGCACTGGGTCTAGAGAGCTCAAATTTTAAATTTACGCCACTCTCGATATCAGTGAGGTGATGGCAAAACTATCTACCCGCAAAACTGCGGGTAGATAGGTAAAACTTGGCGGGGTCCGA